GGGCCGAGAGTGCTGCCGTGCATAGCAACAAATTACCCCTCTCCTCAGTTCTGGGAAGGCATTTGCAATGTGGCTCAGGTAACTGCTGCTGGGGAGTTACCAGTTAACCACTGAACAGCATCTGCTTCTGTGGAGACATCTCAGCTTATTCTGTGCCTCTGGTAAATACCGCAGTTTAGGTAACGATGGAAGTTGTCGTTACTGCTTGGCACTTGAGTTTAACTTTAGTATTGTATTTTAACTGCAGTTCTTCTAATATTGATTCCCAGTGTACCAGCTATACTTGTTTTATATATAAAAGTCTTGTTTCATTCTAATAAATTTAATTATAAAGCAATTTTCTATTGTTTCTCTAGAAGCATTCTAAACTGTTAATGCTGTGAAGTTCCTGGTTTATACGGTTTTAAAACAGTATTTTCAGGGGCTGAGAGGTAACTTCTAATTCTTTCTACCTGTGTGGCTTTGGTTATTGTACAACAAAACTGCATGCAAGTACAAAGCTTGATGTAATATGCAATAAAGTAATCAGCTGTAGTAGAATGCCATGTGAATGAAATGGGCAGAGGGGATTCTTGCAGTATTTCTTTAGGACTTTAGCTGTATTTTAAAAAGACCAATCATAATGTTTTAAAAGTTGTGCAATTTTAGACTCTTTATTGGGAGCATGCATACTCCTCCAGTGAATTTTATATTAAAGAATAAAAAAAAAAAATTACCTTGTTCAGGTATTCTAAACCCTATTATGGTCTGCCAGTAGATAAATGCGGAATGTGTATCCATTTTTGCCTTTGGTGTTGACAACAAAGATCTGAAAAATGTCCTAGGGCTCTGCTGTTCAAGGGGACCAAAGATAAACTGCTCACCTTGTGTAATACAGTGAATGAGGATGCAACAATGGTTCTTGAATTATGGCTTGAGGAGAGATGGAGGATGCTATGTAAAATCTAACTGTTGCTTATCACATGTAAATCCAAGAACCTGAAGCATTGCTTAAAGATTTGGCATAATTTAAGACATGTTCTGGCTTTAAAACCAGATTTCATACAAATTACATTTTGAATCCCTCTCATATGATAAGACTCCTACCTGAATGATTTTCACAGATGAGGATCTAGAATTTTCAAGCTGACCTTGAAATGTGTTAATTTCTCTAATTTGTGTTTAATTTGCTGTATGCGATGTTTTCATAATAACTGTGTTAATCATAAATGTTGTTAGTCACTTTCCTGACTTCCAGAAAACAAACAGTGAAAAACTTTGCATATTTACTTCACAGCTTGGAGAGATCAGGATAAGTTACAAGGACTACTTAGAACCTTTCTCAGTTTTCCCTCATCTTTAAAGGTATTTTGTTACAATGACTGTCTTCATCTCATGGGCAAACTAGGCAAGGTTACTTCAGTTCACAGGATTTGTCCAAACATTTTGCCCCAGGGACAGCGTGGAGCTTGGACTACTTCTGATGTCCTGATCCAGTATTGAGTCATCGGTAGTAAGCTGATCTCCCCTAGATTGAGAATTGTCATCTCCTCTTTTTTTGTGATCCAAAGATTCCCTAGGTGTTTCAGAACTGAAACTTGAGGGTGAAGTGTTTTTCCTTGAATTACTGAGATTGCCTTTCTGTCCTCTCTGCCGTGGCACTAGTAGTGCTCTCCCACCCAGCTGACGGGCTGTTTCAGAGTGCTGATCCACCCAAAAGCTGGTAGGTTCTTTGCTAGTTCAGTTTTTGGCTGGACCAGCTCCCTTTGTGGAGCTTCAATAGTTACATGTGCACTAGGGCTAAGACAAAGAGATGACAACGAGCAAAAAGTGGCAACCCAGTGGTCTCAGAAGCAGTAGGACTGCCTCCTTCTTTTAGGTGATTGTCTTAAAGGCATACTTTGGGCAACCTGTTAATTGCCACACAGAGCAAATAAATCTGACCCTTTAAAGTCAGACTTTTCTCTTGTATATTTGTTTGCAATGTACCGGTACATGAAATAACCAGACATGGCCTGAAATTGTTTATCAGAAGTAAACAATTACTGAGGAGGTGTTTATATTTAATCAAGTAAAGCTTGTTATTTTTGAAATTAAGATTATTTATTTTTTTACTTGGTTTCTTTACAGTGAACTTTTTTAGAGAGCAGTTTGTATTCCTTTCCTGATGTGAAGGAATGGTGTATGTTTCCCGTAATTCAGTGTCCTCTTTCAGGCATGTCTGCTACTTGTGTACCAAAATGACCAGAATTTAATAAGTGGCTGAGGTCGTGACTGAGTGTCTCTTGCCCCTTGATCGTGTGGCATTAATACTGTTTAAGATCCACATACAAACTGTCATTCTCTTGTGTGCTAGACTTGTACAAAAGTTAACAGACAGATCTTTTTAGGTTAACAGTTTCCTACCTCCTCTCTGTTACTTGGGAAGAAACTTATTTTTCCTGTCTGTATGCCTGCTGTCTTACAGACCAGAAAGTGAAAACTGAGTTTATTGTGAATGCTGTTGATTGATTGGCAGTGTATTTCTAAGGAATTAAGTAACTTTTCATCCACTTGTAGAGCTTCTGTTTCAAGGCAAGTGCATAAATACTGTCATTTAATACATTTTTGTTATGGACAAACTTCAGGAGTGAAATCAAAAGCTTATTGAAATGATCTTGTAATGAAAATATTTATACATCCCAACCATAGTGTGTGTGGAATAGCCAACAATCTTCTGATGTGTTACAAACGGAGGCTTTAGGTTCATATCTAAATTTTGTGCCACCTGCACAAAATGGGCTGATTTGAGTTTTTTCCAGCTCTAAAATGGGAGTAATAGATCATTTCTTCCAAGAAATCACAAGCTATTCTGTTCTTACGCTTTTACTTGCTATATTAAATCATTCTCTTAGAGTTTTGTTCCTGTGGTTTTGGGACCCTGGCGTGCAGATCATACATGATATAACACCGGAGTGTAGGGACCCCCACTCAGAACAGTTTCCTCTTCTGTGTTGCTGTGCCCCCTCCACTGTTTGCTGCTGGTCACTGGGTGTTGCGCTGTGACCCACATTCACCCTGCCTCCAAGCTTTGTCCTCTGGCCCTCCTCCAGCTTTTGCAGCACTGCTCCAGTTTGTAGAAGCCTGCAGCAAATACGCAAACAGTGCAAAAGCAAAGAGGCTTAGAATCAGGGCCTTCTCTGTATGTTTTTGTTCTTTTGAGGAGATTTGTTTCATCTTTGTCTTGTCGTGCATATAGAGCAAGTAACGCTCCAAGAGCTGTGTTTTTATAATGAGATTGGATAACTGGAATACAGCTATAATAGAGGGTATGACTTTGGTATGTGCCTGAAAAAAATACGATGAACTGGTTTCAAAGAATCATGAAGTTTAAATTATACCAAGAGAAAACTAAATAGGTTAAGGTTTTAGGGATAATTACAGAAGGCCTCTTGAATGTGGAGTAATGTCGCAGAACATCAAGTGGTGTGATTGTTGACTGGAACGTATCACTCTTAGTAGGCTTAATATTTAGTTATACCTCAGCATATCTTTTAGTGGCATAGTTTAGTGCATGAGAAGGTTGAGTGATCTATCCAAAAAACATACTTGTGGCTTTGATATGCACATGATTGATGAGATTGCCCTCTGAATAATGTGACTACATCTGTCTCTTCTCCCAAGTAACAAGTGATAGGACAAGAGGAAATGGCCTCAACTTGTGCCAGGGAAGGTTTAGATTGGATATGAGGAAAAAATTCTTCACTGAAAGGGTTGTCAAGCATTGGAACAGGCTGCCCAGGGAAGTGGTTGAGTGACATCATCCCTGGAGGTGTTTCAAAGACATGTAGGTGTGGTGCTTAGGGACATGGATAAGAGGTGGACTTGATAGTGTTAGATTTATGGTTAGACGCAATGATCTTGAAGGTCTTTTCCAAGCAAAACTATTGTATTCTGTATTATGGTGTTTAAGAGGACTACCAGGTGTATTAATGAGTTTATCATCTCTTGACCCTGATAACGACAGAAAATCTTAAGAATTTATTTTTAATAGCTTGTTTCAATTTTCTGCTGAATGCTTACGTGAAATTGAGGTGCCATAGTGTTGTAGGTAGGCCTGTAAGCGGAAGCTGGCAGAACCTTTCTGTACAGTTCTGACACCAGCACGCATTGTTTCTTTGGATACAATGAAGCTGGTCTGACATTTTTAAATGCCAGTTAGATACTAACACTTAAAACAGCCAGCATGCCCAAAAAGCATGGAAAGGTAAAATACTACATATAGAAAAATTGCTTCCTTTAAAGCTTGCTTTAATTGTATCTTTCCATGTGAGGAAAAAATAAATGAACTGGTTTTAGAACTGGTGTATTATTTTCACAACATTTAGGCAGTTTTCTTTAGAAACATCTGTGCTTGGAAGCTATATTTAGTACTGGTTTTGGGAGGGGAGGTATTTTTTCTTAAATACATTTCTTGCAATAAAGTTGGGAGATGGTCTTTTATGCTTAAGTGTGGAAATTGGTTACATCAATATGTTTAAAAAATTGAACTTTTTTCTCTGCAGGCGCACCTGTAGAGAGTTCTCCAGAGGAGCAGACAGCCTCTTGTGAAGGTAATTGTTTTCATGTTCTCACAGTACACAATGCATCTCCATTACACACTTAAAAAAATTATTGAAAAATTCCCATGAACCTTTTTCAAAGAGAGAGTCTTTGCAATCTTCTTTATCTTCATACTACTATTGTAAGGCAGTGTGGTTATCCATGGTTATTTACAATTTTATAGCCGGTCAAGCAAGGCACATTAAGACCAAGTGGTTTATTGAAGGTCATAAAGCTTGCACGAAGCAGGAATTTTAAAATTGAATCTGTATATTAAATAGCATTGGCAAGTGCCCAGACATCTGAACGGTCCTTTTATTAATTTAGTCACTCTGTTTTTCTTTGTTCCTGATACTGTCATAGTAAATATGCGTCCTTAATTCTTCTTTTTTTGTTTGTTTGGGTTTTTTTCCCCCCTAGGTTCAAATGCTGCTGTTAACATGGAAATTTCAGAATCTGTTGGTAAGATGAGAATTGTTTGATTTCACTACAATAGTGCTATAAAATACTACTATAGTGCTTTTGCTGAATCCTTGAAAACAAAATTGAAGAATACCTTATTGAATCTTTGCATTTTTGATCCTTATTGATTTTCATTGTGACTTTATACTTAGATTAGGAAAGAGGTAATCGAACACTAGTATGCATTGACAGGTGCAACTGAATGACTTGAACACTGAAAAAGCATCAGTGCCTTATTTAAAAAATAATTTCATATTACAAAATAGTCCCATTAATAGGTGTAAAATGGTGATTTAAAAAAAGGTTAAAGTTATCAGTAATATGAGCAATCAGAACATGGAAATCGTATCTTTCTTCTTGTATTTGTATGGCTTTTGAGAGAACTTAAACCATTATCGCTTCCTTTTTCTTTCTAAATGTATGGAAGCATGTATCTGTGGATTCAGACCAGCATGATGGTCTGAGTGGATCTTCAGTTTTGTTTTTTTTCCTTGTAAAATTGTTGTCTTGTTAAAACAGAAGTCTCTTAATCCCTGTGAATCATGGTTTTCTGATGTCAGCACACAATGTAGTTTGAAAGCTCCTGTAATAATCATTTCGGAAACAAGCAGCAGTTGTCCATTTTAAATAGGAAGACATTAACAGACTGGATAGTTGAAGTCTTTTGATTGTATCTTGGGAGCAGGGGCTTTTCTCTATAATCATTGCTTTTAATTCCATTATCTATGTGAATATATCTAATTGTTTAATTTTTAGTGGAAAATGGAGAGACAGAAATGTCCCCGGAAGAGTCATGGGACCACAAAGACGAAACCAGTGAAGTGGAGCTAGGAGGTGGTCCTTCAGGGGACGCGGGGCCTTCTGAAGAAAGCGCTCAGGAAATGATGGAGGAGGAGGAGGAAATACCAAAACCGAAATCTGTTGTTGCGCCACCGGGTGCTCCTAAAAAAGAGCATGTAAATGTAGTATTCATTGGGCACGTAGGTAAGTTGTAAGTGAATGTGAAGTAATTGGATCTTTGTGATGTGAATTATATAGAACTCAGAGGATTAGAAATTAATCTGTGTAGGGCTGTATGTATTCACCATGTCTTGAGGTTAATGGGAACATTCATTCTAATGAGGCTGCTCTGGAGAAAATAAAAAACCTAAAGAAGGTCTTTCAGGGGTGGAGTGCCAAGGATAGAGTGTCTGTGTTCTCTTGGACACAACAGTGACAAGCTTCAGAAAAATCTTAAGTGAAGTCAAAAGTACAGAAGAATTATTGAATCATGAGTTTTACAGTAAATTCTCTATTTTCTTTTGTAGAGTCTTCTATCACCTTAAAACTCCTGTAATTTAATCCTCAGGTCAATTCAAAGTGGAGTCACACAAAGTAAAGAGTCAGTGAGCAGAGGTACATCCCAATATTGAAGAGCAGCCTACAGAAGTTAGGGACAAGGGGGAAAGTATGAAACCAGAATTTTCAAAATTCAGTGTAATTGAATTGACAGTGAATTGTTATGGAAACAAAGGAAGCTAAGAAATGCTTCAAAAAACTTAGATTGCAATTAAAGGATATATATTTGGAAATAAATTAGATTACCTTGTTCATAATAGCTTTCTTCGATTTCTAGGATTTTCTCTTAAATTGTGAATGACATTTTTTATTTTATTTTTAGATGCTGGCAAGTCAACTATTGGAGGACAAATAATGTAAGGAAACTTAAATAATTTTTTTAGATTTGCTGTTATTTCTTGTGAATTCAAAATACATTAAGTAAAATCAGTAATATTTTTATTTATGGCTTTAATCAGCATAAATTAATATTTTTATAATAAAATGTTACTCTCCCTGTCAATTTATTTACGTAATGTCTCTGGAGTTTCTTAATTCCAGCAGATCTAATGTTATTGCTATAGGAGTTTCACTTACTTGATGGAAAAACTATGGAAAAGCATAAATTATTAAATTAAGAACACTTAATCCCTTTCTTAGAACATGACACTTTTTCTTTGTCATTTTAAAATGCTATTTGAAACTGCTTTATACCCTTTGTTAAACTTTGTCCTTTTTACAAGATTAAAAAAAATTGAATATCCTTATTCCCTGGTGCTAACATTGTCAGGTATAATTTTATTTCAAAATGTGAAATTATAATAGTTAATACTGTAGATATTTTAGAAACAGTATCTAGAGACTGCAGTATTTTTATGAGACAAAAGTAAATAAATGCAGCTAGATCTTACAGTTTGTTTAAAAAAAAAATAAATCCAAGAAATGGGAAGTAGTACATGAAGAAATAAATGCTATCCTGCCAATGCAAAGTATTTCTGTGATTTTAAAATAATATTCTCAGCAAAAGTGGGAGGCCTTTGTCTTCGCATTTTCATCTTGTTTTGTTTTGACCAAACTGGAATGTTGGAATTGTCATGCTACATTTAACCTTGTAGTTCATACTAGAGCAAATTTTATTACCGATGTGTATGAGTGTTCTCCTTGCACAAGGAGATGCCTGTTCTTAACACTCCTACCAATGTGTTATGTTCCTAAAGCTTTTCGGGGTCTTTCACTTTGGCAGAATATCCCTTTGTTTTAAGAGGGGGGGGGAAATTGAATGCTTGTACCATCTTTGTCATTAACCCTTTATTATCATTAATTTTCCTTATAAACTAAGTAGCTTACTGTTATTAGATCAGGTAGAAATATCTGAGGGAAAAATATGGAAGTTTTAATATAATAATACTGTACGCTACTCACATCTCAACTGAAAGATCTCTTAAAATATCAGTTTCCTTGTTATATCTAAAAAGAATGAAACAATAGGGGTTTTTTTACATTTCAGAAATGGAGGGGGTGTGTGAAAAATTCTCCTATCGTAATTTTTGCTTAATTTTGAAACATTGGGTTAGTCTCAGAAATTGACTTAGCAGATGTAGTTCCTTTTCAAAACTTGCCTCAGCAGAACACTTTACAATTAGGCTTAAAAAAAGACATTCATCATACTTTTGCTAAAGTGATACTGGTGTTCTTTTACATATCGGATAATGGTGTGGCTTTTTGTGGAGAAAAATCTCCACTGCTGCTCGCATCAGGCTGTTCCAGTTTTTCAAAATAATCTGTAGGGATTGTACAAGTATTAACTATTTGGAACTGTGCTTCTGCTTATGTAAAATTGCACTTCTTTTTTCCCCTCCTTCTCAGGTATTTAACAGGAATGGTTGACAAAAGAACGCTTGAAAAATATGAAAGAGAAGCTAAAGAAAAAAACAGAGAAACATGGTATGAACTTACTGAAGATATTGGTGTGCTTTTTTTCTTTGCACTGTGATGAAAATGGGAAACTGGTTTTTAGTCTCTGTCCCTATAGCACTGGCTTCCTGCTGGAATGGGATTTTAGTGGTGGGGAGCAATCTCTTCTTTTCCTTCAGTACTCCTTTAAACAAAACTACACGAAACAGTGCGATTTGCGCGATTTGCATTGGAACAGGCTTTGCCGTTTGCTTTTTTTTTAATTGGTGCTTTACATTCCAATGCTCTGGTAAACCTAGTTGTCTGGTAAAAAGAAATACAAGGCAGACTTTTTTCTTAGGCAGCTCTTGCACAGAGAGTGAGTTAATAGTTTTGGCTGTAACATTTGTTCCTATGAAAATGAGATATAAGACAGGATCCACAGTTCTTAAGTTTCTTCCATGCAAGTGGATGCTACTTGTCATGTGTGGATTTTTTGGGGGCTTTTTTGTTTTGTTTTGTTGTTGTCTTTTTGGTTGGGTTTTGGTTTTGTGTATATGTGTGTATATACAGTGCATATAGCAGCCTGCTTTCTCCTTCAAACAACTCCTGAAAAAATGATGTTCATTTTGGAAGCTTTCCATTTTTGGCTGTGGTGGAGGAAAACAGAGGTTCAAAGGGCTCTGGAAAAGAAGCAGCTCAAGACTTCCTTAGGGGTAGAGCAGCAATGGAGCACTCAAGGGGTGGGCATTGACCTGAACTAATTGTATGATGTGTGAGAGGGGGATAGAAAGTGTGACATACGTTCCTTTTATCAAGCAAGCATCATCCCCCTGTAGGGAGTTGATCATAGTAATAAATATTTTGGGACCTTCCTCAAAAACCCTTGACAGCTTGAAAACCAGATTTTGTCTTCTGCCTCTTCTTTTAGAGAGCGAGTTGCAGGAAGTGCTTCCTTTAATGCTGTTTTTATTCTTTAAAAGATGCCATGATATACAACAGAAAGTATGATGTACCTCTGTTATTATCAAAGGTCTTGTTAGCTCACTTCTTACGTTGAGAGTCTTGAAATTTGTACAGTTTTACTTTGTGATGCTGAAAATTCTATGCTGTATTGCAGACTTGGCATTTCAATCGAAAATACATCTTTTCCTAAAAAACCCTATATGTAAAAAGGACTTCCTATCCAGCTTGATTCTTGTTAGCTGAGTAAAACCTGACCTTTGGCTTGGCTGATGTCTTCCAGAAACACAGCCCATAGTGAAGATTACAAGACATAGGAGCATGCATACTGGTACAAACCAAAAGCCATCTAGCATGCTATCTGGACCTCAGTCAGTGACAATTAGCTACTGCCTGGGGAAGACTGTGATTATATATATACGTAATTCCCAATGTTTAGTGCTTTCTCTGACTCAGGAACCTCCTGAGCTGGAAAGGACATCTTTGTGTTCAGTAGTCCCTGATCAGCTGAGTTAGCAGTGTCTCTTCAGACATTATCCAGTCAATACAAGAGACAGGTTAAAGATCTTTATAAGCTGCTGTTAATGGTGAAAAGTATTGGTATGTTAAGCCAGTTCAATTTAGTTACTACTACTCTTCTCCTTAGTGAGAGTAATTTTTTTTTTCTCCTTTCTATTCACTAACTTTCACAAAACCTGAAAAGAGCTAAATAATCTTTTTTGAAATTTCAGTTTATTTGTCTAACTTAAATCTAACTTGTTTGTCAGTGACCAATGGGATAAAATATAATTAGGAAGGGACAACAGTTGATATGATCATAGTATCAAAGATGGGTGAATAAAGTTGGTGTTTATTTCATAGCCAACTTCTGTTTAATACGTGCAAATAAATGAGAAATAATAATAATAGTTCTCATAATATGAATAAGTCCAAATCAGAACTAATTTTTAGTTAATTACACTGAGAAAGAGGATTTTAGAATTTATTTTATTTGATCCAGGGGTGTTTTTCAAACTGAGGCAAAACTTATGGTATTTGAGGTTAGATCATACCTGGAGAACTCAGTAATTGAAAATTGTTATTTAGAATTGCATCCTTCTAGGTATGTGAGGGAGAGCTAGCACTGGGCACTACATTCACTGTGCATACACAAAACACTTACTAAAAAGTCACTGTTGGTCTTGGAAATGCTTAAGTTCAGTAATGCTGAGGTAGTTAGAACAGTTGAGCATAGAAAAAAGAAATTTTATGATGGACAAATTGTACATACATTTGAATGCAAAAAATAGAATGTTGGGTTGTGGTTGTTTGGGTTTTTTTTTAGGTACCTTTCATGGGCCTTAGACACAAATCAAGAAGAGCGAGACAAAGGTAAAACAGTAGAAGTGGGTCGTGCCTACTTTGAAACTGAGAAGAAACACTTCACTATTCTAGATGCTCCTGGACATAAGAGCTTTGTTCCAAATATGATTGGTGGGGCTTCTCAAGCTGATCTTGCTGTGCTGGTAAGGACAAATCAGATTCTTTTATTTTGGATATATTGTGGAATTAAGCCTCTGGTTTTTATTTTTTGTTTACTTGTTTACTCTTTTGGTTAGTTAGAGTGGGCAAAATTTTCACATCTCAAGTCTGCGAAGTTGAGTGGTTTTTGGAGTAACTTAACAGCTTCATAACATTGTCCACAGGTGCCATGTGATTTTCATATATGTCAGTGCAGAAACTAATACTGAGGATATATCAGTGCATTTTGAAAGCTTTTACTGGTTTTGACCATCCAAAGTTATTTTTGAATAAGGCATTGTCAGTTGTTTTGTTGATATAACTGTAGAACTTCTATTAAAATGTGTCTTTTTAATTAGGTTATTTCTGCAAGAAAAGGAGAGTTTGAAACTGGATTTGAGAAAGGTGGACAAACAAGAGAACATGCCATGTTAGCAAAAACGGCAGGTGTAAAACATTTAATAGTTCTTATTAATAAAATGGATGATCCAACTGTAAACTGGAGTAATGAAAGGTGAGTTTAATATTAAAAAAAATAATTTTCCTTAAAAGATACTGAAATAAA